CAATCCATTAATCCATAGTAATAAAAATAAACCAAATAAATAAATAAATGGAGAAAAAAAGGTTTGGCTTTGCAAAAGAATTTCAACTAACAAATTTATAGTAATTCCCCAATTTATGAATGAATTCTGTTCCAGAAGAATGTTAGTGAGTCAGATTCATCTGTAAGTCCAACAACGTTAAGTAGTATACACCTTTGACACAAATATACAATGTAAAGCATAAAGACCCAAATGTGTCAGATGTTCATAAGTCAGGGACTTGCTGTAAATTGATGAGGAAAATAAAGTTACCCATAGCTAAATGCCACAGCTTTAACTGTAAACAGTCTAGATCTACCAGAGAATGTTAAACTCAATGGGTGAAAGTTTAAGGAGAATGAGTATAGTTTCAAAGCATCTTCCCCCAAAACATGTGTTACAGCTTGTACCTAGATTCTGCCTCACAGCTTCATGTAGTCATAGGTGGGGCTTTTCAGAAGGGGATGGATCCAGTGTGTGTGAATGTGGACTAAGGGTGTGATACTGGGATTAAGGGTGTGTGGTACTAGACCAGTCCACTGATTGGTTTATCATAGTTCTGGGTGTCAATGAGAAGCACCCCCCACCATGAGTGGCACCACCCAGAGGCTTGCAGCCTGCATGAGATAAAAGGGGAAGAGGGGCTTGCTGCTGCTACCTACTGTTTCACTGCTTTCCGCTGGCCCTGCCATGGACTGTTCCTCCTCTGCTATGCTACCCTCCCTTGGACCCACTTGACTAGGGACGGAAACTCCTATAAACTGTAAGTTAAAATAATTTTGTCCTTTACCTTTCAGTGTCATGTATTTTGTCTCAACAATGAGAAAAGTAACTAAGGCTACATGTTAACTGCAAATGGAAAAATAGTAACTCTACCACGGAAACCTGGCAAAAGAAATGTGACAGATACCACTTTAATCATGAAATCAAGATCAACAAACATATCCGCTTCATGTTCCCTGGAAGGCATAGTATCACTTCTGTGATGTTCCTTCCAGAAATGAATAACCTCAATTTAATCATGAGGAAACATCAAAGGCAAATGTACATTCTATAAAATAGCTAAAAAGTGTTCATCAAAGTGTCTAGCCCATGAGAAGACATAAGAGTCAAATGTGTAGGAAACTAAGGAAACATAACAGCTAAGTATAAATAATAAGTGTTCCTGGCTTAGATCCTAGAAGAGGAAAAATATTTAGTAGAAAAACTGATGAAATTAGATCATGCCTATCATTTAGATTAGCGATTGACTGACGCTGTCCCACAGGCTAAAACTGACCTATTGGCTTTTTTTTAATAGTTTCACTGGCAGATAGCCATGGACTGCTTTCTCAAAATGGTAGAGTGAAGTAATTGTGACAGAGATCTTTGGACCTGCAAAGTATAAATATTTGCTGTCTAGGGACCAACAGCACAACATCTAGGTTTAAGGAGATTCTCCCCTGGCCATTTGTGCAAACTCACAAGCTCACATGCCTGCTTTTTTACTTGTGCAGCTCTGAGAATTAGTGCCCCCTGAAATTGGCATCTGGGACACCCTGCTTGCTTCCCTCTAGTCCTGAACTCATTAATCATTCACAAAAAAACATCTGCTGACCCTGGCTGCCTTCGTAGTGTTGTAGCAATGTTGGTTTTGGGGCTTTGATCCTTTACTACCCTATGTATAGGTATAATGTTAACATTAACAGAAGCTGGGTAGGAATTCTGTGTACAAGTATTATTTTTGCAACTTTTCTATATGTCAAAAATTATTTCAAAATAAAAGATCTTACAAGTAATTCTGTACAGGATACATGTATGAGGTCCCAGCTGCCCTGTGAGGCCCAAATAGGAGTCACAACCACAGCCTGCTCCTCTGTGCCAGGCGCTTTCTACGCACTTTAGATATGCGGCTCAATCCCCACAACTCTGAGGCGAGCACTGCACCCCACAGGAAAGTCAAGTAATTTTCTCCAGCTTTTACACGGCAGAGTAAAGATTAGATCCCAGACAACATGAAGTTGGTAACAAAAAGAAGGGGAAAATAGATGTTTCCACCTATCAGTTTTGTGCTCAATGTTCAAGTTCATGAAGTCTTGAAGTCACGATGCTTCCTTAGCATTACTACAGAAATAGCGGCCAAATATTTAAAACCCAAGTAAGATTCATACTAGGGAGGATGATTTACATGCTTAGTGTGATATATGTGTCATCAAGGACTTCAGCAGATTTATAACATACATCTTTCATGTAAAATCCAGTATTTCCCTGGATAGCCTGTGATACAACTTTGGTAAATTGTTTTAAAATGGAGAGTGTGTTGTTTTCTAGGCAAGAGCATGGGAATATTCCCCCTCCTGACTAACACTTGGCATGCTTTAGGTAAAGGAGAAAATGTAGTCTCAAGGTTCACTGTCATGATTTCTTTAATTTGTGAAGGGTGGTTTTTTACAGTCTCTGAGAAAAAAAGCCCAATTACTACTTTAGAAATATATATGTATATATATATAAAATTTTATTTTGAACTTAATTTCTAACACAAGCTTTAAATTGTAAGAACTATACACTGTACCAAAGCAAAACATTATATGGTTATCTCAACTTAGTTGTTATAAGTAAAATCAAAATATCAAATTGCTTTGAAATAATTTTGAGTATGAAGAGTTCTGGTCAATTTAAGAGCATCAAATCAAAGAATATTTGAAGTAAAGGAAATTCAACTAATATAAATCAAATTAAGGAAATGTTCCACTAAAGAGTCAAAAAAAGGACAAAAATTTTTAATGGAAAATATATCTACAAATAAGAGAGGAAGAGATACATGTAAAAAAAAGTAAAGAAACCATAAAAGGTCATTTCATTAAAAATTAAAGATCTTTAAACCAGCCAGCGTGGTGCAGGAAGATTGCCATGAGTTTGAGGTCAGCCTGAACTACATAGCAAGACCCTGTCTCAGAACAAACACACACACACACACACACACACACACAAAACCTAAGAAAAAAAATCTAAATTGTGAAACTTATCAAGTTACATTATATTTCTTTAATTTTAAATAATTTCTTTAAAAATTATCTGCTAACAGTATAATGTGTGAATGACACACACGGTAAAAACAGTAATAATATTTTTCAACTGCTGTAAGTAAATTATCATCAAAGTAAACAAAAGTAGTGTATTATTTTTGAGGAGAAATATTTAACTAAGAAGAGCATAACAACGGCGTGGTGGTGCACACCTGTAATCTCAGTATTCAAGAGGCTGAGGCAGGGGTTATCGCAGCGAGTTTGAGGCCAGCCCGGGCTCCATAATGAGCTCGAGGCCAGCCTGGTCTATATAATGAGACCCTGTCTCAAAAATTAATAAGTAAACATCACTAATGTACTGGAAAATTACATCTCAACTACAGACTGAATTACCATAATAAAGGTATAACTGTTCACACTGGAAAACACCGCAGCAGCGATCGCGTCAACCCTTCGAATACGTCCTTGTTCGCTACTACGGAACACAGCTTGCGACCCCGGCCAGAACGAAGCGTCGGACCGGAAGCTCCCGCCCCGGCAGATCTGGCGCGCGCTCACATCCTAACGCTCCCGGGCCCGCGTGACTGCAAAGCACAAAGGCGGGGCCTCCGGGCCGCTGCGCGAAGCTCAGGGCTGGCGCGGGACAGCCGCAGGATGCGGGCCGGCGCCGCCCTTACCGAGGAGCGTTCGTCGCAGCCCAGCAGCGCGTAGTAATCCTCACTGTCGTCTGCCCGGTAATTCAGGATCGCGTCCATCCGGAGGGGTAAACCCGTTGCTTTTCTCAGAAACCGGAGGGGAGTTCCAGCTGACAGGACAGGATCCCTCAGACCACAGCACACCCGCGCTCTCCGGGCGGAAGAGCCGGCTCTAGACCGGCCGCGGACTACTGGCAGTAATCGACCGAGGCCAGTAATTGAGCACCGCCTCTCATTGGCCGCGCGCAGACAAGGGACCGCCTCCATTGCCGGGGGTGGGGTGGGGAGACAACGGACCTCCTCCAATTGGCCGGGCGAGACAACTGACCGCCTCCATTGGCCGGGCGAGAGAACGGACCGCCTTCCATTGACTAGGCGCAGATAACGGGCCGCCTCCCATTGGCTGTGGCAGACTCAGGAGCGCGCGGTCGGAGCGGTGCCGCCTGGGATCTGCAGTTGGAGCGTGGGGAGTGGTGCGGCCGAGCCCTTCGTCGTAGAGTTATAAAAGACTGCGTTTTCAAACTCTCCAAGTCATCTCTCCATTTTCTATATTTTTTTCCTTTTTTTAAGAAACAAAACAGTTGGAGGCAATGCAGTACGTTTTAGAAAGTGTTAAGTAGGAATAGTGGGTATTTTGAGTGTTTACGGGATTTTGTATTTTGGGAACACCGGCAGGGCCTTGAGGACCCCCGACCCTTGGACCTACCAGAAATGTTATTTTAAAGGTAGGGGTGGAAGGAAATAAACTAGTGTAGGAAATGCTGGTTTGTTTCACAACTTACTCATTCAATATGTATTTACTGAGGAACTATTTTATGCTCACACAAGATCTTGATTGGAGGAGCGGGGCAGGGTCTCTCGGTGCAGTTCAGCCTGGCCTTAAGCGCACTTGTAGCCCAGAGTGGTGTTACACTCACTGCGCTCCTCCTGCCTCGGCCTCCCAGGTCTGGGATTACAGGTGGGTGTCCTCACGCCGAGTGCAATCTTGATTCTTGTAGAGTTTACCTAGTTATTTTCTTTGTTTCTTTCCTTCTTTCACAGAGCTATGGATCATCTTGTGCACTGTAGATGTCTTGGTTACTCTTCTCTTGTTGCTGAGACAAAATACCCTACGCTCCAAATGAGGGGAGGAAAGGTTTATTTAGCTCACAGCCTGTGGAGGTTTCAGTCCATAATCAGTGGCTCCAAGGCAGGGTGGCAGGGCACAGGGGCAACACTTCAAGGCGGCAGAAGACGGCCAAAGCAGCCCGAGTAAAAGGGGGGAAGCAAACCTCTTTTCCTCCCTTATATTGTAAGCAAGGTTCCTGCCCACACCATCTCCGAGCCCTCCTCTTGCACAGACTCAGGATGTTTACGGAGGACCCTGGCCCTCTGCTGAGTCACTTAGTTAAACTTCTAAACTTCTCAGTTCTCAAGTTGACACAATGTGTCCACCCTTATTTTGAGACAGGGTTTCACTACATTGCCCAGACTGGATTCAAAATTTAGATCCTCCTGCCTCAGTTTCTCAAGAGTGCTGGGGTTACAGGCATGCAGTTGCTTTGAAAACTGGGCCCATTTTTATTTTAAATTTTATTTTTTGAATGGGTACTATATTCACACAGTACGGAAATGTAAAGGCATAAAAGAGTAAACATTCAAAGGCTGCTGAAATATTTTCAAGTTTGATCTGGTGCGATGACAAATGCTATTAATCCTGTTGTTAATAATAGAGCGCAGGGTGTTAATAATGGGGCTGTTCATAGTGATGTGAGACAGGTTGTGTGGGAACCTGCTTCTCCCTTAGTTATGTTGTGAACTTGAACTGCGCTGTAAGAGCAGGGTTCGGAGGGAGGGAGTGTTTTGTGTTGTGTGTGCGGTACTGGGGCTTAAATTAGGCTGCACACGTTCTAGGCACAGCGCAGGACCACTGAGCTATATACCCCGGGTCCCGGGTTTATTAATCTTTAGAATATAGTAACAATACAAAGTGTAATAAACACCTTTCAAGATGTTAATTGGTTTTTTTTGCAGTTCTAGAACCAAACAATTCATTCTGTTTTATAGCTCAGCATAGTTCCAGTGAGCTAAGCAGGAGGTTGGCTTTATAGACAGAAAGGGGCTGAGGGTGGCAGACACAGAACATGAAGCAGATTGGTGTTCTTCGTGCTGACCCAAACCGGCCGTTTGTTTTTTGTTTGTTTGTTTTGTTTTTCTCTTCTTTTGTGTCTTTTTGAGACAGGGTCTCACTATGCAGTTCAGGCGGGCCTTGAGCTCACTTTGTAGCCCAGGAAACTCCTGCCTCAGCCTCCTGAGTACTGGGATTACAGACGTGCGCCACCACACCCTGTAAATTTTTATTTTCAATCCAGCCATTTGAGGGTGTGCTTGCTCTTGAGTCTCAGTCTCTCAGTCTCTCTGTCTCTCTGTCTCTCTGTCTGTCTGTCTCTCCCTCCTTGAAAGTCAAGTAAACCTACTTTTGACTTAGTAAAGTGGAACTTCAACATAAGTAACTCCATTTGGGTTTGGTCTGTTGGGCCTACTGCAAGATCTCCATCCAAATCCGTGACTTCCTATAACTTTTAAAACACAATTATTGAGAGCCAGCACAGGTGGTGCAAGCCTATAAGCCCAGTACTCAGAGGGGTTGAGGCAGGAAGATCACAAGTTCAAGTCCAGCTTGGGAAAGTGCAGTTTAGCAAGACCCTGTCTCAAAATAAACTTTAAAAAGGGCTGTGGTTTTAGCTCAGTGCAGAAGCCCTGGGCTTGAAAATGTTGACTTATTATGTGCCAGTGGTAGATCTAGGATTTAAACGCTGCAAGGTCTGGCTCTGAAACCCACGTTTAAGATGTATAGAGCACTGTGTCAAATTAGCCGGCCAGAATTTTGACACCGTAGAAAATGCACCAGGCGAGCTATCAGGAGAACTGGTTTCTTGTATCAGCTTTCTACCAATTCCTTATGAGCCATGCTTCCTTGGATCGGAAAGGATATTGGACCAAAAGATCGATTCTCAAACTTCAAAGTGCCCGTAAATGGTGCAATCTGGTTAAGGTGCAGCTTTTGGTTGGGGCTGTCGCTCAGTGGTAGAGCTCCTGCCTGGCATGTGCAAGGCCCTGGGTTTGATCCCCTGCACTTTTTAAGAATGCAACTTTTGCGTCACGATACCTGGGCGAGGTTAAGATTCTGCATTTCCGACAAACATGAGATGACAGAGGGCAGGCCCTCTCTGCCGTCCTTCTCTAGGCGTCCGCACGCCCTCCCCTCCCGGCGTGGCGCGCCAGAGCCGCCCTGCTGACCTCTCTCCGTGCCTTCACTGCCGTCGAGCTGCCGGTGTGTCCCGCATCGCTCCCAAACGCGGATTCGCCACGCCGACCTTCGCGCGCGTCCCGGCGGCGGGCCTGC